CAGCATGAAACTACCCGAGTGAAAAGCTTCATTGAGGGTGTTGTTTCTGTAAATAACTCTTTGCTTGTCCGTGGTTTGTTTTTACATTGTTGCCCCACACGAATGAGCAACACATTATTTACATCAACCATTAACAAACATCACATAGGTATAGACAGTAAATATCTACAAGCTTCAATCATTATTTATATTTACATTTATAACTTTCATAATCTTTTGTTGCTCTGTATGTAGATGTTATATACATGATTATATTTTAGACAGACTTTGTCAGAACATTTTATTATTATATTCAAAGTTCTGAGTATAAAAAAAAAAAAAAGTTGCAACGAGTTGTGAATTGAAGCTTTTTAATGACACTTGTCTAACTCATTTCAGGGTGTAGGGAAAAAAAACCCAGAAACAAACCTACTTTTACAGACTTTAAGTATTTGTATTTATTTATTAAACATCTTTTATCCAACGCAGCAGCGCATTTTTAGGGGCCCCAAAATTTCACTTTACAAAATAATTGTAGGTTTTTTCTTTTAAAAAAAAAACGTTTTAATGCATAATTCACAATTTAAAAAAAATTTGTTTATAAAATATCATACACGTGCACACACTTTAGTATAAATACCAGTTGTCATCACCTCCTACTCAGACATTGTTTACATTAAGCCGATGCTCACTAAAATAACATAATCCGGACCAGCGTTCATTTATGTCAGTAAAATTACTTAAACTTAGAGTTCAAAAAACCCACAAAGAATATATCAATTATGGCAAAAAAGTTTAGGGCCTACGATTGAACCTCTTTAAAATAGTAAGACAGGAATTTGAAAGTTATTTCGTCAGAAAAGGCCCGTTTGTGTAGTTAGGTAGTAACTATAAAATAAATCACAAATGTTAGGCATAGGGTCTTCTTTGTTTGTTAAATCTCACTCGCTAACATTCATACAAGCGGCATTTTAAGAGACCCCTAAATTCGCTCTTACAAACAATACAACCTTTTTAAAATTTCTACAGAAGTTTATTTCTGTTAGTTGATTGATCGTTTTAATATCTAAATCACAAGCTTTTTTATTAAATAAACAAAGACCACACAAAAATCTCACTTTATAGAACTCTACCCCCCTTTCCAATGTTTACAGCATCTGTCATCGGTTTCTTCCCGAAAACTGTTTCCCAAAGCAACTCATCTTAATAGAAATATTTTATCTGGCACATAACTGGGTTCTTAAGCCTGTGTCCGAAAAAAAACTGAATCTCATCAAAACAAAATAAAAACACAAACTGTACTTCAAAAGTTTCTTTATGACTAATCCGCCTGATTGTTAGCAAGCAGTGACCAGTCAGTAACAGGCCGCACCCTTTAGCCCTCTAGCCCCAAGAAAATAGAAAATCTTAAATACTTAGTGATCCGGCTGTCTGCACCATTCGGAAACACAACGTTTCTGTAGGTAAGAATTGTGTTTTGAGAATGTGTTATTGGAAGTGACAGGTCAGAAATTAATATGTATTTATATTTATAAAAATATAAATTGTATATATATATATATATATATATATATATATATATATATATATATATATATATATATATATATATATATGTGTGTATATCAGGTTGATCCGCCCCTGATACAACGTGTTAGTTTTCACCTCCATGTTGAATATATTAAGCAGAACAAACCCTTAACACTAGCTGTGAGCGAGATGAGGCAAATACGTCATCAATAGTTGTGGAAAGTTCGAAGTTGAAAGTACATAATCTTGTTGCCAATCACAACAATGCCGAGCAACATTAGAATAATAATGCTCCCTTCGCGGTGTATGACGAATGGTTGCAGTGTAAACAAACATTGCTACAAAACACAACCAATCGAGTCTGAAACTTAAATAACGTTATATTTTTTTTTGGCTATGGAGATGTTATGAATGGCAACTTTTGAACACGGCGCAATGCTCTAGGATTCGGTACCCGCACACTACATAAACCTGGTTGTACTGTATTACAGAGGCGTAGCTAGGGGGGGGCGGGGGGGGCGGCCGCCCCGGGCGCCGACCCTATGGGGGCGCCAAAAGGGGTGGGAAAAATTTTTTAAAGCTGATTTTATGCTGCAGTTTTGAATTATAAACTGTCTAAGTTAAGAAATGTAATGGCTACACGCCTCACATACTGATTTAACTGTTTTCTACCTTGATTTCTTAATGTAAAACATATACTCTTAAGAAACAGTGACCGGCAAAACCGCTTTGAAGCTTTTCCTAGATGGGGGGGGGGGCGCTTTTTCGAGACTTAAAACGGAAGAATTTACACTAGATTGTCGATAAACGTTACCACTATTAAAAGAAACCAATTGTATTAAAACGTATTGTACGATTATCGAACTGTAAAATACGTTAGTGACTTTTATCAAGATGGTGCAGGGGGGCGCTTTTAGGCTAAATAAAATAGCAAAATTACACAGGATTCTGAGTAAACAACCTTTAGCTCTCAGAAAGAAACGAATTGTACTGTGCATTGTATAATTGTGTAACATTTTTAAAAAAAAGTTTGTTACGTTAAAAACCGCTCTACAAACTTTGTCCAAGATGGTTGTGATGAGTGTGTGTGGGGGGGGGGGGGGGTGGGGGGCGCTTTTTTACCTAACAAAAATCGCAAGTATTTGTACTGGATTGGTGAGCAGATAACTCTCTTAACACTTAGTAAAGAAACCAAGTGTATTAACGCGTAATGTACAATTTCAATAGCCAGTTTTGTTAAAAAAAAAAAGACGCGACTAGTTCTTTGTAAGATTCTTACGATTCTCTCAACTTCAACGTGAGAGATCAGATACTTTTGATTGATTGCATTACATCTTACCTGGATCACTGAACTATATTAAAGAGAACTAAATATCACGGATTCTTGAATCCCTAAGCCACTAATCACCACTTTTTTTCCATGCTCTTATTTCATTCTCCACTGTCTGTAATCTAGCTCCAAGCCATACAGTAAAAGAGACCACATTTAGTTATAGATCCTAATTGAATTTTTTTGACAATGCATTTGAATTCTACATTTTCTTAGAGTGTTAAAACGCGTTTTATTGCTGCTGATTATAATCAGAACGTCATGGGCTATCATTAAATTGATTGTTACTGCTTCTTCAATCAATACAATTAGTTATGCATTTGTTGTTGACGTTGTGCGAGCAGTGTTTCTTCCAGACTTTTTTCTCCGGGGGGGCACTTGAAATTTTCGGGGGGGGGGGGCGGTAGACTTTCTTTGGGGGGGGGGGGGGGGGCGGACACTGTTAAACGCATACATTTTCTATATATAAATTATATAAATTTCAATTCGTTCGGGGGGGGCGGTAAAAAATTTTCGGGGGGCTTTGCCCCCCCCCCCCCCGAAGAGATGCCTGGAAGAAACTCTGTGTGCGAGAAGGCAGGGCAAATCTTCGAAATCCAAGACTACGAGCTGTTAACATCCGTTGGATTCCAGTTTGTTTTCTCTAGCTTGTTTAGTCATACCATCAACCAATCAACAAAATACCCATGTCGTATTCCAATGTGAACAATAAATATTTCTGATAACTTCTTCTTGTATGTCACTTGTGTGTCCTTACTCTAACAAACTTCGAATCCAACTATGTACCATATCACAACAGAGATCGTTCCAAAACTAGAACATAAAAGGCTGGTCTAAACATATTAGCGTTAGCTACAAACTACCCTCTAACACAGATCAGGCTTATTTTTTTTTACTGACATCACTAATCGTTCGCAAACAAAGTTAAACGCACCTTAATGGGAATTAAATTGTCGTAAAGTTTTAAGGAATGAAAATCATACAATGTAATTATTAAACCTTGTCCGGACTGTAGCATACACGCTTACACACACGCTTACACACACAAATACACTCTTACCCACACACAAGCTTATATATAAACACACTATCACACACATAATTATACACATAATTTTATATATATATATATATATATATATATATATATATATATATATATATATATATATATATATATATATATATATATAAGCGGGGGGGGGGCGCCAAATTGAAAGTTCGCCCCGGGCGCCGGGAAGGGTCGCTACGCCTCTGCTGTATTAGCCTACCACGCCGACTGGAGCTATAGCAAACTGAACGGGTATATTGAATTCAGTGCTTGGATTTACACACAGGTTTAAACACCTAGTGCGTTGTGTCTCCACGGCTGTGTATTTGGAAACATTTTCAGCGTGTTACCTGACCTTAGTCGTGCAGTTAATGGTACATTCAACCCATATTACTCACGTGTAGCCTACTTGATACTGTCTTTTAGTTGTATCGTCAACAAAATGAATTTTCGATTGAGTGATTGTTTTCTGATCCTGTTGGTGGCTTGTTCACGTAAGTCAATATATGACCTGCTTTCATCGGGATATATGCCCATAATAAACTGAAATATGAGATTTTACACAATAGTTTAATAGTTTCATCTACTTAAATTAATGCCTTGATAATTTTTTTTTTTTAATTCTTATATTAGTATGTTACAAAATACACAATTACACTATTTATACAATTACACAATTTAAACTATTGTTTTAGAGTACAAACACATGACACAACTAGATTGATGTTAGAGTACAAAAACAACTAGACAGATGTTGCTAGAGACTTGTATACCACCTGTAGACACCCGCTCCCCCCCCCCCCCCCCCAATTAATGTTTACAAAAGTCAAGGAACAAATCCTCATTAGTCACATGGAATTTAGAGCAAACTTAATTAGATCATCCATTTTTATATTAAAATTACCCCATCAGTCCAAATCAGGATGGTCGCCCACATTTTGTTCCCACAGAAAAAATCGTACATATGCAGTCAAAAAATGTGGCTTCTAGTCAAGTTCCTGTCATTTCGATAAAGCCAACAACACCATATTTAAGTCAAGTACATTATTTTCAATGAATAAAATCATCTACTTGACTTTCAATGAAAAAAAGTCATCCACTTGACTTTAAATGAATAAAGTCAACTTTTTGACCCCAGACACGTCATGTGTAACAAAGTTCACGTGCGCCAAGTTTGTGACGCTACATAACCCTAGCCTGGAGTTTGTACCACTGGGGGTGGAGCTGATATCTGTCAACCGTCTGGAATGTGTTCGAACCTGTGTCTTACGTAACCGCGAGTGTTCAACGGTCCGTTACAGTCAGACGTCACAAGTCTGTCGTCTGGGTGAGTTCGTTGTTGGATAGGACGGGCTGTTGTATAGAGGGGTGGGTTGGTGTATGCAAGGTGGATGCATCAAATTTTACATGCAAATTGTGTGAACAACGGATGTTTGTGACGTTTACCCTTTAAAATTATGTCCTATAATATATATATATATATATATATATATATATATATATATATATATATATATATATATATATAAATATATATATATATATATACTAGCCGTCCCGGCCAGGCCCTGCTCTAGACTCTGTGAAAAACTTAACTGTTAGGGACCATTACCTGTGTGTTTAGTAATCATCATATACCCGGCATTGCCAATCCTAACCACAACCAACCCAAAAAAAACCGCAAACATAACGCAAACACAATTACAAATATAAACACAAACGAAAACAAAAACCTAACAACAAACCCAACCACAACCACAAACATAAATACCAAGAAAAAACAAACAAAAAAAGCAAACGAAAACAAACCAATTCCAAACGCAAACCCAACCACAACACAACACAAAGACAACACAAACACAGCACAAACATAACACCAACACAACACAACACCAACACAACACCAACACAACACCAACACAACACAAACACAACACAAACACAACTTAAACACAACTTAAACACAACACAAACTCAACATAAACACAACACATCACAAACCGGGATGGCTATTATTATATAAAATTGTAGATCTTCTTGTAGTTTGGTGTAGGTCTCTATAAAAGAGTTTTCTGGTGAGACCGACAAAAAAAAAACAGACGAAAACGAAAACGCAAAAAAAAGATAACTAATAACCTGCGGGAATTCCCGTTCCCAAATAAAGTTGTCTTTTGTTACTTCGCCCGTCTTTAGTTAAAAATATTAATCTAATATATGAAATTGTATATCTTCTTTTAGTTTGGTGCAGGTGTCTATAAAGGAGCTTTCTGGTGCGACCTAACAAAACGAATTCCCCTTCGCGCGCAAAAAAGACAGACAAAAACGAATGCGCAAAAATAAAGCACAAATTCCCGTTCCCGAATAAAGATGTCTTTTGTATTACGTCAAATTTCTTTGATTAAAAAAAAAAATTAGTAAACAGTACGTTCATTGTATGAAATAAATAAAATGCAGAATTAAAAATACCTACCATATGCACTTGATTAATCCGTGCTAATTATGTAATTCTTTTTTTTCCCAACACCAAAACAAAGTAATAAAAAGTAAATTCTTTTCCACCCGATTTAATGCTTTTAAAGGAAGTAATTGTGTTTTCCTAATTTATCAAAGGGAAGTAAGTTCTAAAGGACTACATATAAATAATGTTCAGATATAATTAGAAGTTTTGTAAAAGATGATATTTTTAAAAAATGTTGTTTAATGAACATGCCGACAATTAGACAGTTATTACTATCAGTTTGAAAAATGAAAATTATTTCACAACACTTTCAGTATTAATTTTTTAAACCATGCAGTTAGACCATGAGTACTTTAATTATCTATCTTTTGAATCCATGGAAGTATCGTATTTTCTTTATTCCTTTGTAATCCACGACAAACATAATTACATACATACAGAATTTTCAACTTTATATTATATATATATATATATATATATATATATATATATATATATATATATATATATATATATATATATATATATATATATATATATATATATATATATATATATATATATATATATATATATATATATATATATATATATATATATATATATATATATATTTATATATATATATATATATATATATATATATATATATATATATGACAACGAAGTTTACAGATTTTCTTTTCCCATCCCCAGGCTCATGGCCGAGATCAACCGCCGCCCCCACCCCTCACCGTGACACCCACACACAGTTGTGTAACCAACCATTAAACTTTGAACTTTTAAAGAACGGAAGTGTCAGTGTGTGTGTTCGTGTGTCGCTGGATCGTTTCAACTATACTAGTGCAAGAGACGTTTGCAAAGGTCAGTCCCATTAGTAGGTTTCTAAAGGTCAGTCGCATTAGTAGGTTTGTAAAGGTCAGTCCCATTAGTAGGTGTGTAAAGGTCCGTCTCTTCAACAGGTATGTTAAGGTGAGCCCTTTACTAAGCACATTAGTTGGCTGTTATATGACTTTACTATGTAACAAGTAGGATGTTACTTGACTCTATAGATCCAACTGTATAACAAGAGCACAGTCCCCAGACGGTATAAAACTATTCAATCAGTAGACACACACCAATCAGTAGACACACACCAATCAGTAGACACACACCAATCAGTAGACACACACCAATCAGTAGACACACACCAATCAGTAGACACACACCAATCAGTAGACACACACCAATCAGTAAACACACGCCAATCAGTAACACACAACAATCAGAAGACACACACCAATCAGTAAACACACACCAATCAGTAGACACACACCAATCAGTAGACACACGCCAATCAGTAACACACAACAATCAGAAGACACACACCAATCAGTAAACACACACCAATCAGTAGACACACACCAATCAGTAGACACACACCAATCAATAGACACACACCAATCAGTAGACACACACCAATCAGTAGACACACGCCAATCAGTAACACACAACAATCAGAAGACACACACCAATCAGTAAACACACACCAATCAGTAGACACACATCAATCAGTAGACACACACCAATCAGTAGACACACACCAATCAGTAGACACACACCAATCAGTAAACACACACCAATCAGTAGACACACATCAATCAGTAGACACACACCAATCAGTAAACACACACCAATCAGTAGACACACATCAATCAGTAGACACACACCAATCAGTAACACACAACAATCAGTAGACACACAACAATCAGTAGACACACACCAATCAGAAGACACACACCAATCAGTAAACACACACCAATCAGTAGACACACACCAATCAGTAGACACACGCCAATCAGTAACACACAACAATCAGAAGACACACACCAATCAGTAAACACACACCAATCAGTAGACACACACCAATCAGTAGACACACACCAATCAATAGACACACACCAATCAGTAGACACACACCAATCAGTAGACACACGCCAATCAGTAACACACAACAATCAGAAGACACACACCAATCAGTAAACACACACCAATCAGTAGACACACATCAATCAGTAGACACACACCAATCAGTAGACACACACCAATCAGTAGACACACACCAATCAGTAAACACACACCAATCAGTAGACACACATCAATCAGTAGACACACACCAATCAGTAAACACACACCAATCAGTAGACACACATCAATCAGTAGACACACACCAATCAGTAACACACAACAATCAGTAGACACACAACAATCAGTAGACACACACCAATCAGTAGACACACACCAATCAGTAGACACACACCAATCAGTAGACACACACCAATCAGTAGACACACACCAATCAGTAGACACACACCAATCAGTAGACACCAATCAGTAGACACACAGCAATCAGTAGACACACACCAATCAGTAGACACACACCAATCAGTAGACACACACCAATCAGTAGACACACACCAATCAGTAGACACACACCAATCAGTAGACACACACCAATCAGTAGACACACACCAATCAGTAGACACACACCAATCAGTAGACACACACCAATCAGTAGACACACACCAATCAGTAGACACACACCAATCAGTAGACACACACCAATCAGTAGACACACACCAATCAGTAACACACAACAATCAGTAGACACACACCAATCAGTAGACACACACCAATCAGTAGACACACACCAATCAGTAACACACAACAATCAGTAGACACACACCAATCAGTAGACACACACCAATCAGTAACACACAACAATCATTTGACACACATCAATCAGTAGACACACATCAATCAGTAGACACACACCAATCAGTAGACACACACCAATCAGTAGACACACACCAATCAGTAGACACACACCAATCAGTAGACACACACCACCTGGATGATTTCCGTTCACCAGCCGTCTGATATTGTCTGCCCAGTGAGAACACATCACACAGATGGCGCTATAAATAACTCATCAACGAGGGTGACACTTTATTTTTTTTTTGTTTACTTCAAGGTTTTGGGGGAAACTTGTATACTATAAAAACACAGGAGAAATTGAACCTAATCGTTGCCATAGCAACATCTGTAAATGCCGACCTGTGGGTGGGTCTCGACGATATGGAACAAGAAGGAATCTTTCGGTGGGTGGACGATGGATCTCTCCTGTCTGATGGAACAAGAAGGAATCTTTCGGTGGGTGGACGATGGATCTCTCCTGTCTGATGGAACAAGAAGGAATCTTTCGGTGGGTGGACGATGGATCTCTCCTGTCTGATGGAACAAGAAGGAATCTTTCGGTGGGTGGACGATGGATCTCTCCTGTCTGATGGTTGGAAGAAAAAGATATTTTGTTGTGGTAACTATCACATGTTTTTAAATATTATTTTACGTGTAGTAGTGCTGTTTTATAACTAGACAAATGGCCCATTGATGGAGAAATACAACGGGGCTTGGTTTATAGTGTCATTATATTTTTTTGTATAGACGCTAAATCTAGACATTGCCACTACACTTTATCTGGTAACCTTGATCTATACGTAGTTACTACACATTGATTCTAAATATAGTTGTAACAATACCCCTAAACCTTGCACTTAAGCTCAAACTTAACAAAAGTTGCATTCAGAGTTTGTTTCAGGCATCTCTTCGCGGTTGGTGGGAATAACGTTATTATTATTGTGTATTTATATGGCATAGGATTTTTATTTCTATGTTTGCTCTAGAATCATTTTATTGTGTGCACATTTCCGGCTTTAGAACTGTAGGGCCTACATGTTTCGTTTGGATAAATCGCTATTAGTTTCATGCTACGTCACTATAGTCATCGGACTATTTATGTAATATATCATGTTATAGTTATAATGTTATCAATATGATGTTACAGTTATGATGTTATGAGAGTAATGTTACAGTTATGATTTTATGATAGTAATGTTATAGTTTTGATGTTATTAATGTGATGTTACAGTTATGATGTTATGAGAGTAATGTTATAGTTGTGATGGTATTAATATGATGTAATAAAAAACGGATACAACTTCCTCAGCGATGCCGGATAACGCCGGTGGACGTGAAAACTGCGTCAACTACAACATGGTCTACAAACCTCTCAACGACGACAAATGTGATTTGTTGAAGGGGTTCGTGTGTGAGATGCCAGTCTTGGCAGCATGAGGCTACACAGGTGTCACGTGCTAGCCGCTAGCTACTGTCACGTCACGTGCCAGCCGGTAGCTACTGTCACGTCACGTGCTAGCCGGTAGCTACTGTCACGTTACGTGCTATGAAGTCACACGACCAAAAACGCTTACATTAAACACAATCAGTCCCTCGCCATATCTGAAAGACGATTCTCTGCCCCTAAAAAACAGCCGTCCGTGACCACAATTTACAGACAACAGCAAGCTGATAGACGATAGATAGTTCTTAATCTTTCTAAATCTCCCTAAGTTTCAAATCATTTAAAAACTATCTCTCCCTAATAGCCTTCACTAGACCGAATGCTCTAGATTGTAAACATTCTCATGAACCACAGCTCACCAAAATGTTATGTAGTAATTTATCGAGTAATTTAATTTTGTTAAATCTCTTTTATTTCAAGAACTTTTCATTAATGTTTGATGACTAATTAAACATTTAATTAAATTTTAAAAAGTGGAAATTCTTGTATTGTCATTGAAGTGGAACGTTTGAACTAAATCTCTTCATTAGAGCTGGGTCAAAATTGGGTTACAAGATTTGCCACAAACCCACAAACAAACAAACATACGTTGCTAACTAAATAAAAGCTTGTAATAAAAATGCAGACACGTTTTTCCCAACACAATAATCGAAATTTTAATTGCTAACAAAATCTTTTTGTGGACAACTCTTTTGCTGCTAGTAGCAACAATATTAAGACAAGCTGCTACTGTTCACATAGTAATGCAATATTTGTTACCCTCATTTTCTCAATGTAGTTAGTTGTATGTGTTTATTATGTAGAAGTGTGTGGCAGTATGTGAACAAATATTATGGGAATTACTGTCGTTTTAATGGATGTTGAAAGTTACAAGTGATGTTTTTGGTATTAGCTTAGCTGGGTGAGGTTTTGTTTGTTTGTTTTTTTCTTGTTTACATTGCACGAGCAAACCCACACACGAAAACAACAAAAGCTGTTTCTATTTAAAGCAATCATTGTTTTCTGTTACACATTTTTGATCGTTGGTGTTTACAGTCTCACCTTCCAGCCAGGATTTGATCCTCTTAGGTTATTGCACATGTTTTTAATACGGTTCGACAAAGTCATCAATCTTTTGTAAAGTAAACCAAAAAAGTAGTGGATAAAATGAAACACATGTGTGCTAGCTGACAATATGTTTTTAGCGAGTTATAGAGTAAAATACAACTGTGTGTATGTGAGTATGTGAGTCTGTGTGTCTGTGTGTCTATGTTTCTATTTTAAGCAGTAAACATCACCATCTCACACATAAAATTCATGAGAAGCGAACAATCGCCGTCATTCAAAGATTTAGAAAAAAAATAATTGTAGCTGATGCAGTCTTCCCCAGTGAAGGCGTTGTCGGGTTCTGGAAATACATGAATGAATTTTAGGATAATTCTATCATATAGGTTTTTAAAACTAACAAGTAAACCACTGCACTGCTAAATTTGTAAATTTTATTTAAGGTAGACATCTTCGCATAGATTAACTTCCTTCAACAATAATGATTTTACCCATTTAAGCTTAGGGACACATTGTTGAAAATAAGGTTTAAGATTTTGTTTTTGATTGCAGTAAATCTATGTGTACTCACTAATGACAGGAAACAGCACGTCTCTCCAGCTACTGTTGAGCACAGAGCCATCGTCCACCCATTTGAAAACATCTTCAGTTTCTAAATCATCCAAACCCAGCCAGATTTGGTAGTTACCAGCGTCGGCAAGTTTCTTGAAGATGTTGATTTTCTCCTGAGTTTTCATCGTGTAAAGATTGCCACCATATTCTGGGGACACGAGGCCAGTAAACAAGTTAAAATCTTTTGTTTATTTGTTTTTCGCCTTACACAAATATTTAATCTATCACAAGTTACAATCTTTTGTTTATTAGGTTTTTTCGCCTTACACAAAAATGTAATCTATCACAATAGCTCAATCATGGCCATCTTATTGTAATGTTACAATATTTTAGACGTGTCATTAAAACATTCTTTACAAAACAGCGCCCAGGCAGGGTTCGATTCGGCGCCCTGGGCTATCATGTGAGCGCTATGGTGCATTATTTCGTATAGTCTATGAATAAGAAAGGCTACTACAGTATTTAACTGAATCGAATCCTGGCATCCTCCGGCGCCCCGACAGGGTGTTATTTGGCGCCACGGGCCTTCCCGCGTTAGCTACGGCGCCTACATTCGATTAGGTGAGTACAAATGACTATGAATAAGTTGGGGTACTAAAGTCGTTTACTTAATTGAATCAAGCGGTTCTGTAAGCGCCCCAGCAAGGTGCGTGTGTCGCCTCGCGACAGACTGTGAGCACTTTGCGTTCATGTTTGCATTAAAGTTTTTGTTTATGTTTGTGTTATTTGCATTTTTTTGAGTTATTGTTTGCGTTTAGGTTGGCATTAGTGTTTCTATTATTTTTGTGTTTGTGTTTACTTTTTTGCTTGCGTTTGTGTTTTCTTTGTGTTTGTGTTTGGGTTTGCGTTAGTGTTCGTGTTTGGGTTTGTGTTTAAAAAATCAAAAGTAGAATAAGTTTTACTTCCGGTTACCTGAAATCGCTAAAAATGTGTTACATAACTGCAACTTTGATATAATACTTATATATATATATATATATATATATATATATATATATATATATATATATATATAACCCTAACCCTATATATATATAAATATATATATATATATATATATATATATATATATATATATATATATATATATATATATATATATATATATATATATATATATATATATATATATAAAATTCATACATACATCCACACAGACACACGGACTGAATTGTAAAACCCAGTATTTTCGACGTGATTACCTATAAAACGTCGAAATTTTGATAAAACTGTATTTATAATTTTTCCCCGATTAAAATAAGTCCCCTATAATCCGTATATGATGAAGTACTGTAAAACGATGAAAACTGAAAATTGCACGTGATTTTTGTGCACGATTACAATAATTCCTCTATAAACTTTGTACGAGAAAGTAAAATAACATCGACGTTGTATGGTTGGCGTGACCTTGATTCATATTTTAATTAATTGCTTCTAAAAATAAAAAAGATCACCCTGGCAGGCTTTCCTGGCACTTGTGTAGTTCATGACCTCTGTGGATAACCGTACACAAACACTGGCACTTCCGTTCTGCATGTAGGTGAAGTTTGTCGCTGGGTTACATAACTGTGTGGTTGTGAATGTGGAGATGTGGCTGATGGGGGTCAAGGTCGGCATCGGCCAGGACCCTTCAACAGATTGTAGGACATTTAGATATAGGACATCACAGGTTGTAGGACATTTGGATATAGGACATCACAGGTTGTAGGACATTTGGATATAGGACATCACAGGTTGTAGGACATTTGGATATAGGACATCACAGGTTGTAGGACATTTGGATATAGGACATCACAGTTTATAGGACATTTGGATATAGGACATAAGAGGTTATAGGACATTTGGATATAGGACATAACAGGTTATAGAACATTTGGATATAGAATAATCGAATATAAAATAAAACCGTTGAGAGGACATATGAGCACAGGACATGTGAATTTAGGACATTAAAGTTAAGTAGCACAAGTAGAAAAACAGGAATCTGATTAAATGTGCTAATGTTCCAAGATTACGAGTGTTGTGTGTGTCGTTGAACTGAAACCACTGATATTTACCTAGACTACAGGTATTGAGTGTGTCGTTAAGGTTGAACTGAAACCACTGATATGTACCTAGACTACATGTGTTGAGTGTGTCGTTGAACTGAAACCACTGATATTTACCTAGACTACAGCTGTTGAGTGTGTCGTTGAACTGAAACCACTGATATTTACCTAGACTACAGGTGTGAGTGTGTCGTTAAAGTTGAACTGAAACCACTGATATTTACCTAGACTGCAGGTGTTGAGTGTGTCGTTAAAGTTGAACTGAAACCACTGATATTTACCTAGACTGCAGGTGTTGAGTGTGTCGTTGAACTGAAACCACTGATATTTACCTAGACTACAGGTGTGAGTGTGTCGTTAAAGTTGAACTGAAACCACTGATAATTACCTAAACTACAGGTGTGAGTGTGTCGTTGAACTGAAACCACTGATATTTACCTAGACTACAGGTGTTGATTGTGTCGTTAAAGTTGAACTGAAACCACTGATATTTACCTAGACTGCAGGTGTGAGTGTGTCGTTGAACTGAAACCACTGATATTTACCTAGACTACAGGTGTAAGTGTGACGTTAAAGTTGAACTGAAACCACTGATATTTACCTAGACTACAGGTGTTGAGTGTGTCGTTGAACTGAAACCACTGATATTTACCTAGACTACAGGTGTTGAGTGTGTCGTTGAACTGAAACCACTGATATTTACCTAGACTACACGTGTTGAGTGTGTCGTTGAACTGAAACCACTGATATTTACCTAGACTACAGGTGTTGAGTGTGTCGTTAAAGTTGAACTGAAACCACTGATATTTACCTAGACTACAGGTGTTGAGTGTGTCGTTGAACTGAAACCACTGATATTTACCTAGACTACAGGTTTTGTGTGTGTCGTTGAACTGAAACCACTGATATTTACCTAGACTACAGGTGTTGAGTGTGTCGTTGAACTGAAACCACTGATATTTACCTAGACTACAGGTGTTAAGTGTGTCGTTGAACTGAAACCACTGATATTTACCTACACTACACGTGTTGAGTGTGTCGTTGAACTGAAACCACTTGATATTTACCAAGACTACAGGTGTTGAGTGTGTCGTTGAACTGAAACCACTGATATTTACCTAGACTACAGGTGTTGAGTGTGTCGTTGAACTGAAACCACTGATATTTACATAGACTACAGGTGTGAGTGTCTCATTAAAGTTGAACTGAAACCACTGATATTTACCTAGACTGCAGGTGTTGAGTGTGTCGTTGAACTGAAACCACTGATATTTACCTAGACTACAGGTGTTGAGTGTGTGGTTGAACTGAAACCCCTGATATTTACCTACACTACAGGTGTTGAGTGTGTCGTTGAACTGAAACCACTGATATTTACCTAGACTGCAGGTGTTGAGTGTGTGGTTGAACTGAAACCCCTGATATTTACCTACACTACAGGTGTTGAGTGTGTCGTTGAACTGAAACCGCTTGATATTTACCTAGACTACAGGTGTTGAGTGTGTCGTTAAACTGAAACCACTGATATTTACCTAGACTGCAGGTGTTGAGTGTGTCGTTAAAGTTGAACTGAAACCACTGATATTTACCTAGACTACAGGTGTTGAGTGTGTCGTTGAACTGAAACCACTGATATTTACCTAGACTACAGGTGTTGTGTGTGTCGTTGAACTGAAACCACTGATATTTACCTAGACTACAGGTGTTGAGTGTGTCGTTGAACTGAAACCACTGATATTTACCTAGACTACAGGTGTTGAGTGTGTCGTTGAACTGAAACCACTGATATTTACCTAGACTACAGGTGTGAGTGTCTCATTAAAGTTGAACTGAAACCACTGATATTTACCTAGACTGCAGGTGTTGAGTGTGTCGTTGAACTGAAACCACTGATATTTACCTAGACTACAGGTGTTGAGTGTGTCGTTGAACTGAAACCACTGATATTTACCTAGACTACAGGTGTGAGTGTCTCATTAAAGTTGAACTGAAACCACTGATATTTACCTAGACTACAGGTGTTGTGTGTGTCGTTGAACTGAAACCACTGATATTTACCTAGACTACACGTTTTGAGTGTGTCGTTGAACTGAAACCACTGATATTTACCTAGACTACAGGTGTTGTGTGTGTCGTTGAACTGAAACCACTGATATTTACCTAGACTACACGTGTTGAGTGTGTCGTTGAAGACGAACTGGAAACATTGCGTGTAGCTGTGTGAGCAGGTTCTGGCACAGGTCACGTGACTGACCCCAGTGAGGTCAACACCCAGCGAGACAAACCTTACATACGGGTTCTTCAGGACTTTGTACAGGGTCAAGGTCTGGGGGCTGGAGGCTGCTGGAGTTGTGACAAAGTCATGACTTTAATGTGACTTGAACAAAGTCATGACTTTAATGTGACTTAAGTGGAACAAAGTCATGACTTTAATGTGACTTAAAGGGAACAAGGTCATGACTTTAATGTGACTTAAACAAAGTCATGACTTTAATGTGACTTGAACAAAGTCATGACTTTAATGTGCATTGAACAAAGTCATGACTTTAATGTGACTTGAACAAAGTCATGACTTTAATGTGACTTGAACAAAGTCATGACTTTCATGTGACTTAACTGGAACAAAGTCATGACTTTAATGTGACTTGAACAAAGTCATGACTTTAATGTGACTTGAAAAAAGTCATGACTTTAATGTGACTTGAACAAAGTCATGACTTTAATGTGCATTGAACAAAGTCATGACTTTAATGTGACTTGAACAAAGTCATGACTTTAATGTGACTTAACTGGAACAAAGTCATGACTTTAATGTGACTTGAACAAAGTCATGACTTTAATGTGACTTGAAAAAAGTCATGACTTTAATGTGACTTGAACAAAGTCATGACTTTAATGTGACTTGAACAAAGTCAAGACTTTAATGTGACTTAACTGGAACAAAGTCATGACTTTAATGTGACTTGAACAAAGTCATGACTTTAATTTGACTTGAACAAAGTCATGACTTTAATGTGACTTAAGTGGAACAAAGTCATGACTTTAATGTGACTTAAGTGGAACAAAGTCATGACTTTAATGTGACTTAAGTGGAACAAAGTCATGACTTTAATGTGACTTAAGTGGAACAAAGTCATGACTTTAATGTGACTTAAGTGGAACAAAGTCATGACTTTAATGTGACTTAAGTGGAACAAAGTCATGACCAGAGTTCACCTGTTTCAGTGAGCTGGGCACGTGATGGGATTGTGTGGCAAGTCGACTTATCTGAGTCGGGTAGCCGTGTGGGGTCGGGTAGCCGTGTGGGGTCGGGTAGCCGTGTGGGGTCGGGTAGCCGTGTGGGGTCGGGTAGCCGTGTGGCCTGGGTCGGGTAGCCGTGTGGCCTGGGTCGGGTAGCCGTGTGGGGTCGGGTAGCCGTGTGGGGTCGGGTAGCCGTGTGGCCTGGGTCGGGTAGCCGTGTGGCCTGGGTCGGGTAGCCGTGTGGGGTCGGGTAGCCGTGTGGGGTCGGGTAGCCGTGTGGCCTGGGTCGGGTAGCCGTGTGGGGTCGGGTAGCCGTGTGGGGTCGGGTAGCCGTGTGGCCTGAGTCGGGTAGCCGTGTGGCCTGGGTCGGGTAGCCGTGTGGCCTGAGTCGGGTAGCCGTGTGGCCTGGGTCGGGTAGCCGTGTGGGGTCGGGTAGCCGTGTGGCCTGAGTCGGGTAGCCGTGTGGCCTGGGTCGGGTAGCCGTGTGGGGTCGGGTAGCCGTGTGGGGTCGGGTAGCCGTGTGGCCTGGGTCGGGTAGCCGTGTGGGGTCGGGTAGCCGTGTGGGGTCGGGTAGCCGTGTGGGGTCGGGTAGCCGTGTGGGCTGGGTCGGGTAGCCGTGTGGCCTGGGTCGGGTAGCCGTGTGGGGTCGGGTAGCCGTGTGGGGTCGGGTAGCCGTGTGGCCTGAGTCGGGTAGCCGTGTGGCCTGGGTCGGGTAGCCGTGTGGGGTCGGGTAGCCGTGTGGCCTGAGTCGGGTAGCCGTGTGGCCTGGGTCGGGTAGCCGTGTGGGGTCGGGTAGCCGTGTGGGGTCGGGTAGCCGTGTGGGGTCGGGTAGCCGTGTGGCCTGGGTCGGGTAGCCGTGTGGCCTGGGTCGGGTAGCCGTGTGGGGTCGGGTAGCCGTGTGGGGTCGGGTAGCCGTGTAGGGTCGGGTAGCCGTGTGGCCTGGGTCGGGTAGCCGTGTGGCCTGGGTCGGGTAGCCGTGTGGGGTCGGGTAGCCGTGTGCCCTGGGTCGGGTAGCCGTGTAGGGTCGGGTAGCCGTGTGGCCTGGGTCGGGTAGCCGTGTGGCCTGGGTCGGGTAGCCGTGTGGGGTCGGGTAGCCGTGTGGCCTGGGTCGGGTAGCCGTGTGGCCTGGGTCGGGTAGCCGTGTGGCCTGGGTCGGGTAGCCGTGTGGGGTCGGGTAGCCGTGTGGCCTGGGTCGGGTAGCCGTGTGGCCTGGTTCGGGTAGCCGTGTGGCCTGGGTCGGGTAGCCGTGTGGCCTGGGTCGGGTAGCCGTGTGGGGTCGGGTAGCCGTGTGGGGTCGTGTAGCCGTGTGGCCTGGGTCGGGTAGCCGTGTGGGGTCGGGTAGCCGTGTGGGGTCGTGTAGCCGTGTGGCCTGGGTCGGGTAGCCGTGTGGCCTGGGTCGGGTAGCCGTGTGGCCTGGGTCGGGTAGCCGTGTGGCCTGGGTCGGGTAGCCGTGTGGGGTCGGGTAGCCGTGTGGGGTCGGGTAGCCGTGTGGGGTCGGGTAGCCGTGTGGGGTCGGGTAGCCGTGTGGGGTCGGGTAGCCGTGTGGGGTCGGGTAGCCGTGTGGCCTGGGTCGGGTAGCCGTGTGGGGTCGGGTAGCCGTGTGGCCTGGGTCGGGTAGCCGTGTGGCCTGGGTCGGGTAGCCGTGTGGGGTCGGGTAGCCGTGTGGCCTGGGTCGGGTAGCCGTGTGGGGTCGGGTAGCCGTGTGGGGTCGTGTAGCAGTGTGGCCTGGGTCGGGTAGCCGTGTGGCCTGGGTCGGGTAGCCGTGTGGGGTCGGGTAGCCGTGTGGGGTCGTGTAGCAGTGTGGCCTGGGTCGGGTAGCCGTGTGGCCTGGGTCGGGTAGCCGTGTGGCCTGGGTCGGGTAGCCGTGTGGGGTCGGGTAGCCGTGTGGCCTGGGTCGGGTAGCCGTGTGGCCTGGGTCGGGTAGCCGTGTGGCCTGGGTCGGGTAGCCGTGTGGGGTCGGGTAGCCGTGTGGCCTGGGTCGGGTAGCCGTGTGAATTCGGGTAGCCGTGTGGCCTGGGTCGGGTAGCCGTGTGGCCTGGGTCGGGTAGCCGTGTGGCCTGGGTCGGGTAGCCGTGTGGGGTCGGGTAGCCGTGTGGGGTCGTGTAGCAGTGTGGCCTGGGTCGGGTAGCCGTGTGGGGTCGGGTAGCCGTGTGGGGTCGTGTAGCAGTGTGGCCTGGGTCGGGTAGCCGTAGGCCTGGGTCGGGTAGCCGTGTGGGGTCGGTTAGCCGTGTGGCCTGGGTCGGGTAGCCGTGTGGGGTCGGGTAGCCGTGTGGGGTCGTGTAGCAGTGTGGCCTGGGTCGGGTAGCCGTAGGCCTGGGTCGGGTAGCCGTGTGGCCTGGGTCGGGTAGCCGTGTGGGGTCGGGTAGCCGTGTGGGGTCGGGTAGCCGTGTGGGGTCGTGTAGCCGTGTGGCCTGGGTCGGGTAGCCGTGTGGGGTCGGGTAGCCGTGTGGGGTCGGGTAGCCGTGTGGGGTCGGGTAGCCGTGTGGCCTGGGTCGGGTAGCCGTGTGGCCTGGGTCGGGTAGCCGTGTGGCCTGGGTCGGGTAGCCGTGTGGCCTGGGTCGGGTAGCCGTGTGGCCTGGGTCGGGTAGCCGTGTGGCCTGGGTCGGGTAGCCGTGTGGCCTGGGTCGGGTAGCCGTGTGGCCTTGGTCGGGTAGCCGTGTGGGGTCGGGTAGCCGTGTGGGTTCGGATAGCCGTGTGGCCTGGGTCGGGTAGCCGTGTGGGGTCGGGTAGCCGTGTGGCCTGGGTCGGGTAGCCGTGTGGGGTCGGGTCGGGTAGTCGTGTGGCCTGGGTCGGGTAGCCGTGTGGCCTGGGTCGGGTAGCCGTGTGGGGTCGGGTAGCCGTGTGGCCTGGGTCGGGTAGCCGTGTGGCCTGGGTCGGGTAGCCGTGTGGGGTCGGGTAGCCGTGTGGCCTGGGTCGGGTAGCCGTGTGGGGTCGGGTAGCCGTGTGGGTTCGGGTTGCCGTGTGGCCTGGGTCGGGTAGCCGTGTGGGGTCGGGTAGCCGTGTGGGGTCGTGTAGCAGTGTGGCCTGGGTCGGGTAGCCGTAGGCCTGGGTCGGGTAGCCGTGTGGCCTGGGTCGGGTAGCCGTGTGGGGTCGGGTAGCCGTGTGGGGTCGGGTAGCCGTGTGGGGTCGTGTAGCCGTGTGGCCTGGGTCGGGTAGCCGTGTGGGGTCGGGTAGCCGTGTGGCCTGGGTCGGGTAGCCGTGTGGGGTCGGGTAGCCGTGTGGGGTCGTGTAGCCGTGTGGCCGTGTGGCCTGGGTCGGGTAGCCGTGTGGGGTCGGGTAGCCGTGTGGCCTGGGTCGGGTAGCCGTGTGGGGTCGGGTAGCCGTGTGGGGCCGGGTAGCCGTGTGGCCTGGGTCGGGCTAGCCGTGTGGGGTCGGGTAGCCGTGTGGGGTCGTGTAGCCGTGTGGCCTGTGTCGGGTAGCCGTGTGGGGTCGTGTAGCCGTGTGGCCTGGGTCGGGTAGCCGTGTGGGGTCGTGTAGCCGTGTGGCCTGGGTCGGGTAGCCGTGTGGGGCCGGGTAGCCGTGTGGCCTGGGTCGGGTAGCCGTGTGGCCTGGGTCGGGTAGCCGTGTGGGGTCGGGTAGCCGTGTGGCCTGGGTCGGGCAGCCGTGTGGCCTGGGTCGGGTAGCCGTGTGGCCTGGGTCGGGTAGCCGTGTGGCCTGGGTCGGGTAGCCGTGTGGCCTGGGTCGGGTAGCCGTGTGGCCTGGGTCGGGTAGCCGTGTGGCCTGGGTCGGGTAGCCGTGTGGCCTGTGTCGGGTAGCCGTGTGGGGTCGGGTAGCCGTGTGGCCTGGGTCGGGTAGCCGTGTGGCCTGGGTCGGGTAGCCGTGTGGGGTCGGGTAGCCGTGTGGCCTGGGTCGGGTAGCCGTGTGGGGTCGGGTAGCCGTGTGGGGTCGGGTAGCCGTGTGGGGTCGGGTAGCCGTGTAGGGTCGGGTAGCCGTGTGGCCTGGGTCGGGTAGCCGTGTGGCCTGGGTCGGGTAGCCGTGTGGGGTCG